TGCCCGTCCTTGTGCGCGGGAGACACTCAGTCTCAAGCTGCCGCTTCTCCCCAGACGACCACGGCGACCACACCCCCCGGCATCAGTCCCCGAGGAGAAGTCCAAACCCAAATCTAATGTTGTTGTCGTTCCACCGCCTTCACTACCAGATCCATCACACCGGGAGGCCGGTTCGACAGGGTCGTCAAGTTTGGGGTCCGTGGCAAAGCCGGAAAATGATGGCGGAGAGGGACCAGGATCTACCAGTACGGGAACGAAACCAAATGAGGTGTCCAATACGTTACAGGCAGATGGTAATAAGGGTACTACAGGGTTACCCAGTGACAAGAGACTATCCGAGGATCGGGCAAATAGGGAGTCTGAAGATTCTACCGAGGAGACCACCACTACCACCACAACAAAGGCACCAACCACGACGACCACCACTACAACACAGGCACCAAGTACTACGACTACAGAGGCGCCAGCTGTGTCGACCACCCGCGCACCGTCACGTCTTCGCGAAATCGACGGCAGCCTCAGCAGCTCTGCGTGGGTGTGTGCCCCGCTGGTGCTCGCCGCATCCGCGCTGGCGTACACCGCTCTGGGCTGAAGAGGTGTGTGCGGGCTGTGCGTGCCAGCACTCAACCGCGGGGGTTTGTGCGCGTGTGTTGTGGTCCACTGTATAAAATAAGAGGAAATAATGATTGTGTTTTGCTTCACTTGCTTCTGCTGCCGTGCTGTGTGCTCCGCGTTGTGCCCCGCATCCGTCACGTTGAACGCATCGCGGACACACTCATAAGCATGCGCACTGGAGCCCTGGGTTTTTTTTTCTTTTTAATTATTGTTTTTTAATTATTGTTTTTTATTGCTTTTTAAACTTCTGGTTTGCGGGGCGGTGTGCGAGCTCTGCAATCGTACTGATTCCATCTGTCTTGTGGTGTGTGCGCTGCTGCTGCTGGGCTGCTGCCATTTGTTGCTGTGCGGTGGCTGTGCGTGGTGTAGCGGCTGTGTCTCCTTTTGTTTTCTCGTGCTATCGCAGGTTGGCTCCGCAGCGTTAGGCGACTCCACTGTTTGTGATGATGACTGGCCGTGTGCTCTGCGTCCTGTTGGCTCCTGCAGTGATGCGCAGCTGCTCGTGCGTGTGAGTGACGGCTGCTGCGACGGGGTGCGTGTGCGGCCCGCGGGTGATGGCGCGGTGACTGCTGGGCACGCGGAAGCTGTGATGGCTGCGGAAGGTGGACCCGTGGTCGGTGGCTCTGGACGAAAGGGGAATGTGAACTCTGAGGACAATAGCAATCAGGAAGACGAGGAGGGTGGAGGAAGCACCGCGGGTGAGGGCCACAATCCCACCTCGGCAGGACCACTCATTGCTCCGACGAGGCAGGACCAATCCAGCAGCGACCCACTGCGAAGCAACACTTGCAATCCGTCCGGCACTGGCAGCGCGTCTGCTGCTCGGATGCGTGCAAGTGGACCGGAGTCTTTGGGCGGAGGGCAAGCTGCAGACACAGCATCCCCACGCTCCGACGCATCTCAGCAGGCAGCAGGTGGAGTGCATGCTGGTGGCGGGAGGACCTCCCAGGGCACTCAGGCCTCGGAACAAACCGTCATGGGACAGTCACAGGTGCCAGGGACGGCGAAGGAAGCACCGCAGGGCGATGAATGAGGAGAACCCGGAGCGCAACACGAAGCCGACCAAACCACAAAAATGACTGTGGTGACCTCTTGCGCAAAAACAGCGGTGGAAGAGGAGAGCCGCCAGCGGGATCGCAAGATGCACCACGTCTCTATAGTGGCGGGAATGCTCATTATTATTATTTTTCCCTGCTCTTACCGACATGTCTAGCCACACGATGTCACCAGGGTGCCGAGGAGGTGGTCGAGCAGCGACATGAGTTTCCTGCTATGAGGCAGCTGCCATTGGGAGAACCTTTCGGTGCAAAGGTCCTTCTTAATGCCCAGCCGTTGGCGCACAGCCAGAGCGTCTGTACATTCTGGAAGCAGATGGTGCAGTGTTTTCTGCGGGCTAATTGTTGCGCTTGTGGAGGCTGGCTGATCCTGCGGTAGCAGTGATTGCCTTCTGGCACTGCTGCTGCGGTGCCGATCAGCGTCTGGGTTTTGTGCGCAGCGATTTCTCTGCGGAGCTTTTTTTGTGTGGGGAAGACCGTGTCGCAGCAATCGCGGTGGAGGTCGGGAAGCGGTGGAGGGTGTTCCGGATGAAAGCACCGACAGTGACCGATGTGGTTCGTGTGTCCCACCAGTGTGGCGTCACAGTGCGGGCATTTCTTCTTCCGACGCCGTGTGGAGGGCCGTCTCTCCACAGGCGGTGCGTCGGCCTCCCTTGTCGTCGGGGGAACAGCTTCCGTCCCGGTGCAGTGGGATCGTCGTTGGAGCGCATGAAAGCAGACTGTTCCGGTGAGATGTTGCAGAAACGGCGTTGGCTCGTGCAGTCTCTCACAGTCCAGTACAGGCGACCCCAGAGCTCGGATTCCCCGCACCCTGCTCATGCAATGTTTGTCCGTTCCTGTCTGTCGAGGGCTTCCTGAGTGATCAGGTGCTTGCCGCCTGGATCTGATGGCCTGGCGCCGCCAAGCAGGTAGTGGTGGGTGTCCTAATGCATGGTGCTACGCCACTTGTTGGTGAGCTGGGTGTTAATGCATGTCAGCAGGTCCGTGCGCCATATGGGTGCTATTCCATGTTCCGTGTATTGCCCGGTTGCCGTGGTCTGCGTCTAATGATCTGCAGGCTCGTTAACATGTACTCCGCAATGTTCGTAGCAAAACTGCAGCTGCACGGACCAGCCGGCACGCGTCAGCGACAAGAGACGCTGCCAGATCCGGTCCTCCGTCCAGTCGGTATGACTGCGCGGGCCCTTGGTGACGGCGGCTAGAAGGGAATGACTGTCTGTAACCACATGCAGGGTTTTTGCCTGTGCTGGATACGATGGACACTCAGCCTTTCCATGGCCGGGAGCAGTGCACTGGATTCCGTCGTGCGGCTGCATGGGCGTGTGCCGCAGTTGGTACTGACCTTCTCTATTATCTTCGATGAATTGAGGGATGAAAGCAGTATTCCAACCCCGGCTGACCTGGGAATGTCGACACCGCCATCCGTTGCAAGTATCCACGAACGATGGCCGTGCGGCGCTAGAGCCTCTTCGCTGACTCTGCGCTTTTCCCTTATCAGCTCTTTTTCGTCGGTGATCGAGTGGTCCACCGGAAGCTCCACACCGATGGTGACCCGGTGAGCAGAGGCCGCGGACCAGGGAGGAATGGAGCCACGAAGGAGCTGCTATTCGCGTGGTGAGTTCTCGGTGACGCCGTAGTCATGTGTGCGTGCATCCACGAAGGCGCAACGTTTGTCGAGAGATAACGGCGAGGTGCGGAAACCTGCGCGAGGCAGAGGCACAGGCTGGGGTTTTCCGCATCCGCTCCATCTGAAACGCGTGCGCAGGCAAAGGACATGGAGCGACGGTGTATTGGCCTGCAGCAGGGCGGATTTCTTGTCAGTTGTGCTCGGAACTCCGCTCACAGTGCGTACCAGTGTTGCGTGCGTCTTCTGCATCTCATTCCTCGCGGGATCCGTCGCTACTGCCCATATGAGTTCACTGCCATAAGGTGAGCTGGAGGCACTGTATCCGATGGCGAACGTGCGTAGGTCATGTGGCGACGGTCCCGCTTCTTTATGCGCAATGCAGCGCAGCTGGGATATCCGCTGCAAGGCGGCGGTGCAGTGCTTGGAGGCCGCCACATTTAGCGAAAGTCACGGGTTGAGATCTACGTCAAGAAGCTTCGTAGTGTGTGACGACCCAATGGCCGTGACTGGAATCTCGCAGCCAGTCACTGCCAGGGGCCACTTTCCTTCGCGGTCATAGACTGACTCCGTGTGCGTGGAGAGTATGGACCAAGCGGCTTCGCACTTCGACTGGGTTGGTGGCCATGTCATTTTCCTGACTCCACGCATGCAGTTGTTTGAGAACCATGCCGGCTGCGGGAATGGCGACTTCCCGGGACTGTCCCTTGATGACAATAGAGAGATCATCCGAGCACATGTCTGCTGCGACGTCTGAGAAGCTGTTCAGCAGCGTGAGGAGTGGGTGTGCGTGGAGGGAGAAGATATACGGCCCCAATACGGTCCCAATACGGACCCCTGAGGAACTCGTCGCAGCTTGGGACGTCGATCACTGAGTTTATTGGCCACTCGTGTCTTGCGTAACAGCCACACAGAAAGTTTCTAAGCCACCTTTGGCGCTTTGCCCCGGAATATTGGCCAGCAAGCGACTGAGGACTCGATGATCCATGGAGTCAAAGGCCTTGCTGGAGTCTACCAGCACCAACAGGGTCCGATGGGGTCCGCAGTGGAGTTGAGTGCCAACACCGCTCTTCTTGGGAAGGTTCACTTGGAAGTAATCGTTTCTGTTATGCTCAACTTCGTGTATCAGGTTGGCCGGCTGCATCGCCGTGGTACGCATGCAACGATATGCGTACTGGTGGGGGTGAGGCGTCCACACCCAAAGCAGTCTCCTCAATACTATTTTCTCGGCGACCTTGCTCACGATGGACGTGAGGCTGATGGGTCGACATGAAGCCATTAGTGCCGGCAGCTTGCCGGGTTGCAGGGGTGGGACGATGGTGGCTTGTCGCCACTGGACCGGAATCGTGCCGGTCGTCCAGCTGTGGTCAATGCAGCGGAGAGGGAATCGGAGACGCTTCGTCGAAGGATGTCGTAGTGCCTCGCTGTAGACTTCGTGCGGTCCGGGGCCTTGCCGTACGGTGCACTACGCAGCGCAGAAAGCGGTTCCGTTTGACTGAAATGGGCATCAGAAGGGGTGGGGGAGAGAGCCTGTCGCAGATGAGGCGGCCGACTCGCTGTTGTTCAGCGGCCCAAGAAGGGAGAGAGAGAAAAAATGTTCAAAGACTTGTTCTGTCCGCGTTGATCTTTGGAAAACCCAACCGCTCTGCGAGGGAGTGATATGGGAGGAATCCATGATTGAGAGCATCCGCTGCTCTTCGTGCTGTCCTGAAATTATTGTGGCCATCGCCCATTAACGCTGGTGTGGGGGATGGTGGTGATGGTTCCCTTTTTCGTCCCGCAATGTATTTTCAGGAGAGCGGTTCGCCTGTATTCAGCGTGCTGATGCGCCGTGGATACGTGTTGCGCAAGCGCTCTCGGAGTAGGAGGAAAATTTGACTCCTTGTCCGTTGGATCTCCGCCTCACGGTCGGGCATTGGCAGCCGCAGACAGCGGGCCTTGCAGTCGGCAGCAATCCGTTCCGCTTCCGCAAGGATGCCATCCCAGAGCTTGGGACCGTCCTTGTGCATGCCGCCCAGTCAATGCTGTTGAAGTGAAACTGCAGGCACTCGCGTGAAATCTTTTACGTCGGTTGACTGCTTCTTATATTCGTATACTGGGATATATTCGTCGAGATCGTTGGCGAAGGACTCCCACTTGCACTTCCCCAGCTGTAGAAAACTTGACGTACCGAAGGGGGCGCCGAGGGTATGCTGTCGACGCATGCCTGCTGCAACGTGAAGGTGAGCATGTGGTGGTCACTGAGTGGCGACACATTGGCTCTCCAATCCGACACGGCAAGGTGCCTTGACCCTGTTTGATCGGTGCAGGATCCCTCTCGTCTGCCACGGACATGCGTGATCTCGCCAGGGGTGTTAACCAAGGTGAATCCCGCATCCGCGCACCCTTGTAAAAATTCTACGGCGACGTCGCTTGGAGGCGTCTCCAGGAAGGACTCCCACTGTGGGCGATGCGCGTTGGAATCTTCGCACAGAAGGAGCGGTGCCGAGGCCGGAAGGCGGTTTAGTAACCGCCTAAAGGATTGCTATATTTGCTGTGGCGCTGGCATGTAGGCACCCGCTACGCTGAGGCCACGGTTCTGCTCCAGGGCGACTTGGACCACCACCATGCCGAGGCCGGAATCGTGTTGAGTGATGGTGAGGGGTGTATGCCTGGAGCGGAGAGTTTTCCGCACCAGCACCGCCTTTCTTGCCGATACGCGCTTGTGCATGGAGCACGTAATCCCCAGTGTGCATGCTGGCGATTTGCTCCTAAGGCTTCCGGATCTTCTGGATGGCTATCAACGTCTGCTCATTGTGCCCTTAAAATTGCAATTTTGCTCGGCGTGAGAGAAGAGCCGTTCATCTGGAGTGCTGCTATGGGGCCTGGGTGCTGCTCAATGCCTCCGCCTAGCAGTAGCTTTTGCCGTTTCGTGTCGCGTACGGCACGCAAAATGTATTTGTAGCGCTGGTGAGCACCGATGGAATTCGGCAACAGGCAACACGCTCGTCCGTCACACTGTCCGAGTCGCATGCGCTGCGATCCCCACAGCTGCCTGCACAGTTTGTGCTCGCGTGCCCCCTGGTGGCTGGAATATGGATTGGCCCTTCACGCCGTGTGCGCCTGACTCGGCCATCCGCGACTGTTTGCCTGGCATTGCCCCTGGCCCCGGCGGCGTATTGAGTGTGTTTCTGCGCCGTCTTGTGCCCGCTGCCCGCTGCTCGCACAGAACGATGATCAACACCTCCCTCGCCGACGGCATTCTGCGAAGTTGCTGGGAAATGGGGACACCACTCCCATCCACAGACACGGAAGGGATACATGCCGCACCGAGAAAGTTGTCGGCCACTCCCGCTGCTCTCTGTCCTGCCAGTGGTGAGCGAAGGACTGGTCCACCGCTGCCTGTCAGCACTGCTGGCACACCACCGACGTCAGCCTGGATCCACGCCACGACGCACGGCCTCGGAGTTTGTGACGCCTGTGAGTGACGAAGCGGCACGAGGGCTGAGCGGGTGCATCGCTGTGGAGTGCGAGCGTCGCAGGGGCGTCATCCCGCGCTGCACCGTCGCCGTCGCCGCTCTCTTGCCGTCCCGCTCGGCATCTCGACTGCGTTCGACACCGTTGGCGATGGGCGAGTGTTGGCTGTGCTCTGCGGGCTCCCGCGCCTGGGCCGTCGCGCCCAACGCTGGTAGCGCAATCGCCTGCGAGGCGACTGCGTTGGGGTGAGTGCTTGCGAGCAATATTCCCGACAGCAGCTTCCCTCAGCCGTGGCAGCCCAATGCAGCGTCGTGCGGCCCCAGCTCCTCCACCGCCACGTGGATGGTCTGCTGCGCCGCCTGGACAGCATTCACTTTGCGTCGGCGTTCATGCACGTTGCCGACCGCGCGCTTGTTGCGTTGTGTGCGGACCTCCGTGCCTGTGGTGCGGCAATGCCAGCTGCCGTGTCCGTTGTAGCCACATGGGCTGCCGAGCACTGTCTGAGTATCAGCGCGGACAGGAGCGGTGCCGCTCTGTTCTGCATCGCCTCACACCGACAGTCTGACGAGGACACGGCCGACCATCGTCTGGGCGGTGGGAAGCCACGCGTCAATCCCACCCTGTGCGTCTGCTCGGCAATGCGATTGATCGACACCTCAATTTTGTTTTGCACGTCACCGCCGCTGCAGGGCAGACCGTGCCACGCCGCCGTCAGCTGCGGCTGGGCGCAGGAGCTGGTGCGTCCCAGCACACCATGCGATCCTTTCTGGTTGGGTGCGTCCACAGTGCGTTGCACCACGGCAGTGAGGCAGTCGCACCGTGTCCGACCCCACTCGCCTCCACAGCCTGGAAGTGCGGCACGGCGACAGCTGCACGGCATCGCTCGTCCCACGCGCATCAACGAAGGATACCTCTGTCCACCTGGCCGCCAGTCCAGCACCGCTGCGGAGGATCGTTGGGTTCCGCGCACCCACACGGCACAAACGCCTCACACGTCTCCGTTATATTGAGGACGTGCGTGGCGCAGTATGCTCGGAAACCACACCTTCGTCAATACCTGGGAAGGCAGCGACGACCATTCTGCTGCCGGGAGATGCCGTCCTCAAGGAACTGCGACGCGTCCGCAGCCACATGAGGATCTCCCCGGACCACATCCGCGCCCCTCTTGTTGAGCACCGAGTTTTCGCCCGGGAAACTGTGAGCTGCAGCGGGGTGGGCGTCTTCCAGCCACGGCACGCCAAGAACGCCCTGGACGGCGTGAGACGATCGGCCCTTGAAGCGGCCTGCAACCCTCTGGGACTGTATGACGCAGGTCGCTGGACGGACGGCTTTTCGTCTCTCGCTGAGCATGCATCTGGATCCGCCGCGCTGTCACTTGACTCCCCGGACAGCCGAGCTCCCTGTGGGGCCTCACCGCACAGCTGCTGGCAGCCTTGCATGCACCTGCCGAGCGGAGTGTCCTGCCAATGAGCATGGCCTCAGACACTTCCCAGTTCCCCGCCTGGCAGCAGCATCCCAATCGCCCACACGAGTTCCTACCGCCACAGACTCCCTCTCGGCGATGGAGTCACTCCGCCTTGGCCCGCTGGCGGTGCACGACGACGTCAGCGAGGAGATTTGTACCGTGCCGCTTTCACTGGCGGATTGAGGTCACACAGCTGACTCCACATTTTCCCCATCACACTGCGGAATCCCACGCAACGTGACAGCGGACGCCGATGCCGTCATGGCACGATCCCTCTCGCAGGACTGCGTCAGTGCCTGGCATGTGGACTTCCTCACCGCAGTGAAGCGACGGAGCTGGAAGGATGTCCAGGAGGAAAAGGAAGCCGCGCACACCGCGTGACAGGCGCCTGTCGGTGTGGCGAGGACTCTATTACTGGTGTTGACCCGGACATCGTGCCCCGAGTGGCGGCACAGCGCACAGGCGCGATGCGACTCCTGCCCACTCTTCGACAGGCCTGCACGCGCCCTGCGGATCACAAGGAACCCTCTGTGTCGGTGGTGCCGTCCCTCCCTGACTGCGGTGACCGGCCCGCCTCTGCCTCCGCCGGAACCTCTTCCCGACGTGAGCACCACAACTCCTTGCCTGCCAGCGAGCGGCGGATTGACGTCCTCCTGCCCAACCTGCGGCAGAGTGCACTTGTCCGTCCACAGTATGAGGGCACATGCCCGACGTGCTCAGCCTGGCGTTATAATAGTTTGCGAGGGCCTCCCATGCGGATGCCACAATGGCGCCACCGTCTTCTTAACAGGTGCCTCGCGCGCAGGTCGCCACCGAAGTTGCCAAGCATGCCAGCAGGCAAGACACGCAGGAAGCACAAACGCGGGTACTTGAGATGGACCAGG